CCAGTAATTGATTAACCGGTAACTTCTAACCAGGGATGACCACAGCTGTCATTTATTAATTTATAGAGAGGTATATTTTATTCACCATCATTACGAAGTTATAAGTAAAATAAACTTTCCGTGTTGTATGAAAACCAGACGAAAATATATTTTAAATTCCTATAAATAAAGCTATCTCATTATCGTTTTCGTCATCGAAAGAAAAAAATCTGAGCTCTAATCAAAATATTCTTGGAATTCGGGTCACTTTCGGTAAAGTCAGACCAAACCCAGACCCGATTCTTGGTAACCTATTCTATAATTGAAATTGGAAACTCCAAAGTTACTAAAAGTCCCCTTCACTTTTATAAAAAAAAAAACAATTCCTTAATTATGTTTTATGAGTATAATAACTATTAAGGTTGAATTTTATTTGCTCATAGGTCGTCAGTAATGCAAGTAAGCACTTAAATTTATTGTAAGTTTGATTTGCTGTGTACCAATTTAGTCAGAGTATAATGACTCTTATTGCTTCTTGTCTTGCAGTTCAATGACATTAGGTATTTATTGTAAACATCGTATTGTAATGTTTTGTATTGGACGTGACTGTACTGGGAATTATTTATTCTATTTTGCTGATCTGCTAAAATTCAGTATTTCACCTTTACCTACTAAACTAATATCAATAATCAGACAAGGTAACTACATTACTTACCATTTTAATCCATAGACATGAGAATGAAAATGAAAATGAGACATAACATCTTGAAAACATCTGCAATAAAAACTAGATGCGAGATTGCAATAAAATACACGAAATGCAGTTTTATAACATTTCCGATCAATCTGGACCTGCATCCTCCGATTTTTCGAGTTCAAGTTCAAATTGCATTGCAAATCAATTCCTGCCCGAAACAAACAGAAATACATTTAAACACATTATCAGTAAACAAAAACCCATTCAGCTCACAATGATGGCCGCCGCGAATTCTTTTTTTGAATCTCTTTTTTTTTATTCGCCAGTATTTTACATTTTGCATAAACCAAAGAGGTTGCCGAACTTTTTTTAATCGTGTAATCGATTACCAGTAAATGAATTATTTAATATTTCTTTTTTTAATCCAAAATACAAATGATTGCCAATTTGTCGTGCTAATAGCATACACCCACTTGTATTTCTTTTATAATCTAAGTCATCACATTCAATAAATTATGATAAAAGACAAAAATAATCTCTAAACTTGTCTTGAGGATTTGAATCTGATTAGGTTCGTAAATTATATAATGTAGGTAATATATTCTTGTAAAATTTTATAATTAGTTAGTCGCGTGACAAATATTACTTATTATGTATTCTGTACCTTTAATCATTTGGCTAATGTATCAAAAAGTTTAATTGAAATTGACTCATATATTGTTTCTTGTTTTGGTGAACATTTGACTTTAGACTTCAACCTTATAAATGTAGAACAAAATATAATAACAGATAATGAAGATAAATTGCTATTTGTGAAAATGAATAACCTTTTGCGATCTAAGTGATAACAGAAATCAAGAACAAAATTAAAGACTTAGTCATCATGTCTTATGCCATAATACAATTAAATTACCACAAAACACAAAAAGCTACTCAAGTTATCCCTAATTCGACAGGCAGTGACAATATAAAATAAACTTTATAGATCATAACTTGTCTAAATATTAAAATATTTATAAGAAAATTTACATTTAAAAAAGCTCTGAGATCATCGTTAATATTTTAACACATTTATATAAAAAAGTCTTGTTGCCAAGTACGATTTAAATAATAAGATATTATTTGACGGAAATGTCACTACTCACTTCGTAGACAGAGTACCAACAACTTCTTTGATGATAATAAGTACTTCGTTGTGACGTCAATCTATGTAAAAACAAAACAATGCCTAATCAAAATAATACGAATAAACAAACAAAATAGCATGGCGGAAATAGCTGTCACTTTTTGGTAACATATAAAAATCTTTAAATCATTTTGTTAAAATTATTTTAAGGAACTATATTATATCATAGATAGATAGATAATTAGATACTAACAGATAGTCACAGATACTTAACTAAACTTTTTTGATATAGTCTGTACCATAGACAGCAAATCTTATTCAAAACATCATCAACAACGTGAGTGCAAAAAAAACTAACCTCCATGCGTCAGTCAACTGCCAAAACATTTAAAAATATGCAAATAGCAATGATTATCATTTGAATTAATGACAAGTTCTACATATGATCGTACTAATTAAAAGTACGCACGTGGGTGGAGGCACGTCGGCAACCGTTAATTCCTAATCGATAAACGATAATCACAATATAAACGTCACGCTGATATCACGATGTGTAATGACCAGACCGATAGAGCAAAAGAAAGAGGTCTATGATTTGCGATATTGCAAAAAAAAACGCAAAAATCTTTAACACGTTGAACGCCATGGGGGTCACCGGTAACCGACGTTAGCGGAGACTTACCAAGATAAATCTAAACCTAACCGCACTTATCTCTACCACATCTTAGTTTTAACCTCATTATAACAAGTATCAAATGAACTGCAAAATACTTTGGGTTCCCAAGATTTGGTTGTCGTTAAGTCCTGTCAGTATTCTGTAAAACTTAAAAATTTGAGCACTATCCTCAAATGTAATCAGGTAACAGGTAACGGCCGTCAATCCTCCTTAAACATACAGACTTATTTTTAATCCCAATTAAACAAACCTTTAAATATAAATGGTAATAAAATACATAGGTAGAAAATAAACAGACATATTTATTGACTTTGTTACGTATTCGGGTAAAAATATCAAAGTCGTACCATGAAGTGGCGTATCGCCAAATCACAAGGTTTTAGCACAAGTTTATCTCAAAATATTTTTGTCTCACGCAAATAAATATTGTTTGTTATTTTGTCTTTAAGGGCGCTTTGTATCTAGCTATTTGGCTAGAGTGCTGGAAAGCTTAACATCTGAAAACAATAATGTTTGTTTTGCCATGGATCTATAGATACAAATTTACTCAGACCATTTTATCAAAGTAACGAAAATATTTGCATGTCTCTCCGATGACGTCTATTTTCTTTGAATTCTGTTAATATAGAACTTCCGTTATAGTAAAATAGTTAAATACTGACTGTTTTTAATTATTATGCTGAATTGTAATGAGCAAATTGAAGTGTGAAAGTAAACTTATTTTTTAATTAATGATAGCAATAACTCATTCCCAATTATTTCAATTACCTCAATGTTTACATATGACATTTGCAACAAAATTAATTTTATAAAACAAAAAGTAGGTAAATCAAGGATTAACACAAAAGTAAAAGATAAATATTAAGATAATCTTAATTAGTACTCTTACTTTATCAGTTTCAGTGCAAAAAAATCCCGTTTTGGATTAAGAAAGTAATGCAATTTACATGAATTAAAATTAAAGAAAAAAATCGACTTAACGTTGAAATAATTGTCTTAAATAATTAAGCACACGGCGCAAAGGTAAAAAATACTGGCCTTAAAGAATGTGATCCGTGCTCTTGATATAAAAAAAAACATTTAAAAGGTTTCTTACATGTTATTTTATCTATGGCAATAAGAAGAAATGACGACATTTGTTTTCATGCGTGTATTGCAAACTCGGTCTCGATTTATTTAATTTAAATCTATTTTCATACATTTTAACCTTGTTTTGTATTGTCGTGATATTATCGAGTGTGACGTCATTATTATCACAATTAAATCGGCCGACTCAATATCACGGTTTTACTAAACACACGTGCTTGGAGAAAATGCGTTTTATCAACATATATTTCTTTCTTAAATCCTTGTATAGAGCTGAACTGTAGTGGAATAGGATTTTTAACATTATCATCGTATTTTTATACAAAAATATTTATATTTTACTTTTCATAACATTTCGAAATCTTGGCTCATTTCTACTTATTTACATGACAGATTATCGCCTATAATTTTCGTGGTTATCTAATAAATAGACCTTACAAATAGTACTGTGTATAGTACTTTCTAACTACAAAATAATCATCGTCCACACGAATTCTATTTGTAGTTCTGATTATTGTGTAAAGTGTTAAATATTTCGTCGTTATTGATAATTTAATCAAGTGATCATCATTTCTAGAATGAGGAAAACCTTCCATAGGCTTAATACATGTGCAATCAAAGAATGATTAAACCTAGTTACAGCAATATAAATTAAAATAATGCTGACTATTTTTCGGCACGAGTAAATAATGTCACGCCATTTTAATATGTTTTTTAAACGCGAAAACCACCAACTTGTACAAATTAAATTTTCATGGCACCATTGTTTTTGCTAGGGTCACGTGTACAAATCGATTACGATAACCTACCGCTGCATATTGGCTTTTGATAATTTTTCACGTGGCAACTTCGAGAATATTTAGAAAATAAAAAAAGAACTATATGCATAATACCGACACGGGGGTTTTAAATAAATTTAAATAATAAAAATAAATATTTTTAACAACAATATTTTTAATACTTAGAATAAATTCTGCATTAATGTAGCCTATAGTAGTTGCACCTAGCACATTCTATTATCGTCGTCCGTCGGCTAGTAACAACCTTGCAGAGTTATGAAACCACAGCAATTTGATTAGGCTGTTATTACAAACGTCCAATAATGTGATTAGGATATTAGTCGATTTTATAAGCAGCCGGTTCAATAATTAAAGATGAGATTATAGAAACACCATTTTACACGCATATAAGAATGATTTCTTGCAATTTTGTGTATAAAATCGATATTACTGCATTTACTTACTAATAGTCTTATGTAAACCATAAAACGAATGCGTAGAATCGGAATATTAACACACTATTTTTTAAAAATAATAGCAAAACCAGCGAACTACATTCAAATATCAATGTGATTCAGTCACTTGTATATCCTTTAACCATAAACTAGTTTTATATCAATATTCTGTGTTCTAAATCTCCTTTTCTCTTGTCAACAGTATCGCCACTAAAACGACGCAGCCCTTCCACGTAGCCCTTGCAGTGGTGGTCCTCCTAGCATGGCTCAGTCGGCCAGGAAACGGTTCCATAAGCGCCATCCGTGGCTGGAGAGCACTCTACGTAGCATCTGTCGCGACACACTTCGGAGCACAAGTCTGGATGACCCTGGTCTCGGGTAAGATTTCTTTCTTTTGTTAGTAGACGGTTCACCTAATTATAAGCAATCAGCGTCTCCCGCAACACCAGAGAATTTATTAGAACGTTACCAACCTTTTTGGGAGTTAATCTACACCAACTTGGGGCTTCTTTGGTCTGCCTCTTTTCTTGAATGTCAGTATTTTACGGCTATTTGCCTTCAAAAACTAAAGGTCGTTACCACATTCGTGGTTAGACCCGTGTTAGAGTGACTGTTATAAACGTGTATAATATGGTCTAATATTTCATTCTAGGACATTCTAAATGTTAGTTGAAAGACATCCACAAAGGTGACAACAAAACACCAATGCTCACTATTACTGATTGCCAAAAGTTACTTAACACCGTTCCTTTATTTTGGGTTTTCTAAAAATATGCCTTTACTCATTGAAAGCTTACTGAAAAAAGATTGAGAGTGCCAAGAAATGTCTGTTAATTTAGTCTCTGGGTCTAGGTCTTAAAATGAAGTCTGGATGTATCAATCAAAACCCTGTCATAAGTAAGAAATTATTTTTTTTTATTACAAATCGGAATTTTGAAACTGGTTCGTTCAAATTTCGAAGAAGTTTATCACGCGTGCACATTACGTATTACGAACGTGAAGGAACGATGGCCCAATAAAAAGTTACCGACTTGTCGTTGAGAAACACCAGTTTTTATAAAAGAAGGAGGAAGTCTCTGATATGTTAGGGTTTCTGTTTCGATAACGTTTAGAGTGGTTATATAATTTTAATACTGGGTAAAGATATTAAAAACGTGGATATTATTTAAAAGATGTTTCTAATTTCTTATACATTTTATTGCAGTGCGATTATACTAGTAATCAAGATTTGGTTGATTACCCTTTACAGAAACGAATCACGAACACGTTATAGTACTAATTTAGCGCTTCATTACAAATACATAAAATAGTTGATCACGTATGTCGTTATTCTAGCCATTCCGCTGTACACGTGTAGTAAGCAGAATTTATTGTTGCTTTATAATTAGTGTTTACCATTGTTGTCATACCTTTGTGTTTTGTTATTACATCAGCCAGTATTCATTCGCTGGCTGTTGATATGTCATCGGACATTTTTTTTTCATTATGTATCAGGCTGGTAGCTTAGAAAAAAAACTGAAACGCATCTGTCAAACAATATTATAGTTCCCATAAAGCGTTATTAATCTAAGATAGTTCCATTTTCAAAACGAAGTAATTTTTGTCCTGAGTGGCGTTTTTTACAATAATTATTTGCTACTATGATGATGACCTCTTTTTCGTTTGAAAATCAGCTTTAATACGATATAATGCACTTAAAATTATTACAGAAGCATGGCTCCTCACTAAGTTCAATCACTCACAAACTCACATGAGTGGTGGTCCGTTGCAATTCGAAATTTAAAAAAAAAGCTCCATTCAGGAACAAAATTATACGTACTGGTTAGCAGTTTAATGGTTCGATATAAAAAAGATGCCCTGATCCATTCAAAGTAATTTGAAACTTTCGCCTCTGATTTTTAAGTCTGAATTTAATTTGTCTCAAGCATTCCTGTTTGTAAACGAGATTCCTCTGTTCTTACAATAAATAATTAAGTAATTGCGTAATGAGAACTAATTGATATTGCATGACTTTAGTCCTGAGTTACCGTTCCTTACAAACAAAAACAGATGCTTTAAGTTCCAATCGAAGAATATTTTTCGATTTAATAACAAACCTGTTCAGATGAATACTATGCAGATAGTAAAACTGCAGTGGTTTTAAGAATTTCTTCCGAGAATACTTTTTAAGTGTTCCATCGCCCATAGCGTCGGAAAAAAACAGAGGCATAATGAACAACATACCGTTGCTTACACAATGGCGGTCGTTTAATTGACAGCCAGCTCTTGACACTTCACAAATGTGCAACATAATATACAAGGACTTTTAAACTCGAACATTATGTATTAACGACTTTCAACCGTTTTGGAATATTTTTTTTATCGACATCAATTTTTTTCTTATTGAAATTATATTTTAGGGCCTTTTTTTTCATTTCAGTGTGTATTTCGATACCTATACCTATAATCCATAAACTAACACTTCGTCACTGAACGATAGGTACCTACTCAATGGCATGTAGTTTAACATGAAAGTACATATGGTACAACCACTATCAAACAAACGGATTATCAAATAAAACACTTACATATGAATTGGCCTGTTTATTTCGAATCAGTCAACATCCTCTGTGTTGGACAATTTAAAGTGACGTTTAATATGGGTGATTGATACGCAACTACGATTCGCAGATCATTCCGGGTGCTAGTACCTAACTTTAAACAGAATGACCTTAGGTATTTTGTTCCTCGTTCTATTCAGTTATCTATAGTAGATTAGATAAATAATTATATTATGTTAAAACATCCAAACAATCATTTATACTCTTTGAAAAAACCTTAGTTGTCTCTCGAGGATTGCAATGGGATATAGACACGTATGAGTAGTTTCACGTGTTCATTCACACCTTCCTTAAATGACCTTATACATATGTGTAGGACTATAGATAAAAGGTTAATGTATGTAAAAGATTAACCGATCTTTGTTACCCAATCCCACTGCATTAACAAAAACTCGTTCAAACTCTGACTCCGACTGATATTTAATCCGAAACAAAGAAAGTTTTATCAAAGAAAAGACAGTGTCGTGCTATCAATAAATCAAAAACGAAAATCCCAAAGTGACGCAAAAGATCACGAGTTGCAAATCTTTCATGACTTATCTCCAGTTACTAGGGCACAGCAAAGACCAGACAACAGCACATCAAACAACATGATATTAGCTCAATACATTTTCAACTTTGTCACAAAACAATAAAAGTGAAAATGTATCAAATAGTTTTGACTGTTTGGTATAGCTTTGTGTTTCACAAGACAGGGAGCGTCAACCTCATTCAGGGCCACAAAGGTTGACTACCGCATAGGGGCAAATATTTGTGGACTTCGCAGACATGTCTACAAATAACAGGTTACCCCAAACTCGCAAATATCTTCAACATATTTTCTGTTTTACGACAAAACGATAGAGTTGAAAATCTATCAAAGATCAGTCAATGCAAAACCTTAAGTAGGGACCATAAATCTTAAACACGTGGGAATCACATGAAAGTTTTCACGTACAATGACGTATATACTCTTAAATCGAGTGGATGAGTGCTTGCTTTCACTCCATATTAGTCAGTATTATCGATCATAATACCTTTGTAGATAAAACAAAGCTAGCAGAAGATACTGATACCCTTTTAGATTGAGGAAAATTGTATTCGAAGTTCTATCTATCTACACTTTTAAACTACGAATTGTAACCGAACGTAAAAAAATCCTGGCTTTTCCTATTTTATCCTTTAAGTTTTAGACGTTTAAGTTCACATTTCTCCACATCCTAAATACTAATAACTTATTCTCTTTCCACAGGTATTGTCCTATACTTCAACCTGCCGCGACATGAGTTCGGTCGAGTGCAAACAGTTTTGTTCCCCGTGTACTACGCCTTCAACGCGGTCATCAGCCTGTTGGCTCTGATCGCTTACTACAGGACGCAGTGCCTCACTCACTTTGAACATACTTCTTGGGTACAGGTGAGCATCAAAACCTTTATAAAACAATAATTATATACTTTTTAAATAAATAAATATGGATAAAAGTCGCATTGCGTCTCTAAGCACTAAGATATAAAATGCATGCTTATACTGTACTGTACACCTCAATTGCTATATCTTATTAGTCTTGTCAGTAATCTTAAGCTCATCTACTAAAGTCATTATACTTGTCATGGACTCTACAACGGTATCCCCAACCATTTACATGGCAAGCAACTCTAAAGTAATGAGAAAACGAAATGACTTGCTCCTTCGTGGAATTAAATCAACCAATAAAAAGCTTTGATTCCTTTCTACACATCTTCAGTTGCATTATAAATTAGCACTTACTTACATTACACAGTTCTTGGTAGTACCAATATGCTAAACACATGAACAAAAGGTCACAAGTATGTATAAAATGTTAAGTAAATAATAATGCAGGCATATAATTAAACGGCGCCAACGCAGTTTGCACTTGACTGATTGTCATTGACACTAATTGAAATTATGTAGTTTCTGATTGTTGGACATTTTGCATGCTTGAGAAGTAAAAGTTGGTTTGGTATACGGTAAAGTTAGGTAATGTGAAAAAAGTTAACATATTTATGTTTTAAAACTTGATAAAGTGAAAATCAATATAAACCAGGAACTATGAGAATATTTTAGGACACCCTATTGCTTCGAAAGTATCTCTAAGATCATAAAACTGAAAATTTTCCAGTTTTCCGCATATAAGAACACATCTGGCAAATTAACTACCTTTGGGCCATAACACAGGAAAACTTCTACCTACTTTATCAGACATTTTACTAGCAATAAATACTAGAATTTATTCCCCGTTTGTACCAATCAACTTCATAACTGATTCCAATTAGCTTCATAAGAACTTTATGCTTTGTACCAAGTATAAATCAAATGATTAAATGTCCGGACACATTACGACCCGTTATCTTGAGAGGGGTCTTCACACATTCTATCAATTACAACGATTTATTGAGCGCTGGAATCAATTTATTGGTATTTCATTATAATATGTTAATCAGAGGGCTAGAATTTTCTATATTTATAGCCTCAAAATGTTGCATTGGAAAATCAGGTCAGGGTTTTATGTAGGTCCAATTTATTCAGAATTGGAACCGCTAAGTATCGCTTCTAATATCTAGTAAGAAATTAATCAGTCTCGAAAATTATAATGCTATTTTTAGTATAAAATATTTCTGAAATTCTGACCTCTGATTCTTCTTATTGACGATACAAGTACTTATCATCCATCAGTAATGTTAACACAAACTTGAAACCGCAATGTATTTTAAAAATACCAAAATTGCATTCATATCCTTCCACAGTTTTGCAGTTTAAGTGTTTACTATTTATTTAATATCTATTTAAATACATATATTTCATTAATATATATGTCAGGGTCAGGGTACAGCTATTGAACAAATATCAAGTGCTCAATATACTAATTTGTAAATTTTAATTCGCACGGCCTTTGTCCAAAGTCATGATTAATGATAGTTCTTATGTACTAAAAGGGGATGAGGCAATTATGTTTTGTACCGAATTATCTATGAAATACTATCTGTAACGTGTTTAGAAATAATAACGTAGGTAATGTAACATTTCAATACTCAATTATAGATATTATGATGGCTGAATTCATATATGTTGCAATTACAATGTAATTTGCAAATGCACAGTTGAATATTCTGCAAAGTTTTCAACATAATTACATTATTATACAGAATAAAATATCGAATTTATTAGGCACGATTGTTTTGTAAATTGCATAGAGACGGTAAAAACCTTGGTGCCACGTTTAATGCTGGACCTTTTTTTCGGTGACCGATTAAATATAAAAAGTACTGTGTAATCTTAAGTAAATGCAAGGTTGAACGAAAAGGTCGGATTAACTCGCTCTGGATAAGACAGATTATAAATGAATGGTCCTTTTATTGTCGGAACCGGATGTGAGAAAGTAGATTTATAATATAGATCATTTTGACATGTTAGGTCAATGTGTAGTGGAATTATTTCACACACAGTTTAAACGTTGTTATAAACGCTGTCCCCAGCAGATCCTTGTAGACGTTTCTAGAAGACTTATTAACCACAAGCTGTCAATCACAAAGTCTCCAATTTACTTTTTTTTTATTCTCTTTATAATACTAATGATCTTTTATTCTGGTTGTTTCAGCTAGCACTTCTGCTAGCAGTATTCAGCATTGAATCCTTCGTGCGCCTGCAGCTGGTGCGACCCATGCTGCGCGCCAAGCATGTCAAGACACAGATGGAGGAAGCCGCAGGTGGCGGACAAGAGGTAAACATAATCTATATTCTGTACTATATATACATAACCTAGTAAAAATATAATATGAAATAGAACATTAATCTGTAGCAAAAATACCAAAGAAAAAATGAATTAACTAAAAAACCGTTAGAATTTGAACTGTAAAGCCGTGTTTAGTGTTAAAGATAGCAGAACATTTAGGATATATTTCCCTTGACAACATGGCATGGTAACTTGATGCCTTTGCTTTGACGACAATTACTTATAGAATAGATACTTGGCTACTCAGTGAATCATTATATGCACGTGGACGTGCTCCGTGCAATATTGGTACCTGAGTGATAATAGTCTACGTCGTAAAAATAATATAATACGACTAGGTGTAGAATGTAGCAATAACGTTACTATTATATTATATTTAGCAATAGTTGGTATGCACTTCTAGCTAGGCGACACACTCCACGTTTTCAATGCCAAACTCAATAAGTAGGTTTAATGATTATATCATAATGAATGTGATGTGAAGTAGTACTTGATTAATTAAACATCGCAGCAATTAAAGTTATACTTCCTTATAGAATTCCTTGAACAGCCGCAAAATATATTTAATAGTTGTTTTCATTCGACATATTAATTTTGTTAATTGATGTTTTTTTTTTCTTTACTAAATCATGTCTTTTCGTTGTTACAGGTCGGTCGCCTAATTCTAGGTGAACTCGCACACTGTCCCCGCTACCTTCGTGTCCTGAGGACCTTCAGGGCCTACCACTCGAGTATAGCCATGGGCACCATGATAGCCCTCGGCTGCTCATTATACTCCACCATGATCATAGTCGACTCCATGTGCCGTTAATCGACTAAACAACAAACTACTGGAGAAGAAAATAAAATATAAAACTATCCCGTTGGCATGCTGTGTAAATTTTAAATTATTTAAGGGGTTTGAATTTCACAATTTTTTATAATATTGAACGTTAATTACCATGTATGTAGGACGAACATGTTTGGATTATCCTAACATGTAGGAAATGTTATTGTTAGTAATCGATTTGTATTCAGACTAGATTAAGTATTTTCTGTTTGAATGGAAGAATATCTTTTGTAAGTAAAACACAAATGCAATAGATCACGAGTCTTAGTTGTAGTGGTTATTGTTAATCTAAATCAAAGTTTACATAGCATGATACCACCGATAAATATGTAAGGATCGTTCACAAATGCATTACTGTCCTAGTTCCAATTCAGGCTGTAAAGTCTGTTTCACTATGTACGTTACTGTACACTTTCTATAAAATCATAGTATTAAACTGTATAGAGTGACTCGGCAGGGATGTAGGTGTGTCAGGCGCTGGTCGCACGAACTGTTTCCCAGAGAAACGCTGTGAGAGAATCGTTCCAAATTATATAATTAGTGTAAGGTTCTGAAGCAGGCGCGACTATACGCGCATAGTATTAAGATGTTAACACGAGCCTTTTTCGAGTTATTTGAGGAGCAAATAACATTGTATGAAACAAGGCTTGATATTACGATATCGAATTTATAGAAAATTTAATTTTAACTTGCCAGGAACTAACAGTATGGATAGCACTATCTATGAATTAATCTTGCCAATCGTTAGCAGTGCCGTTCCGTCGGTTAGGCGTGTGAGGCAGCGGGCCCACTAAGCTGCTTGATATTATGAAACTCATGTTGTATGCTCTCTAATTTCCTGCAATACTGCCATAGTATAGCGCTAAGTGTAGTAATAAGTAGTATAGACTCTCGCCAACGCATTTTGCAGAACAGAATCGTGAAAATGCTCCTTGACCGCAGGAAGTTACGAGCACGCAACTTTTACGACGTTTTTGGTGTCGAATCAAAGTCGGTTGTAGCAGAGCGCTGCGTACGTTCGAAGAAATGTTTGATGTGTCTTCCGAACTTCCGAGCGACGATGTTCCCGATGTTCTATCGTTGTGACGACTCGATTGTCTAGTCAGCAACTTACACGCGATCGTAAAACTCCAATTTTATTGTATCGCGCGTTGATTAAACCTGAGCTTAAACGTATTGCATTTAATCAAGTTCGATTTCGATTGAACATGATTAAATGACTACTTTTACTCATCAAGCAGCTTATGCCTTATTGGCAGAGGGTTTGTTAAGTTAGTTCTAAGTAATATAATTTTATATAACTAAGTTTAGTTAGAAATAAATTTATTTAATCAAATCATGTGAATATTTGTTAGTGATTATTGTTTACTTATTATTCATAAATGATCTGAGTGTTTATGTGGAATTATTATTTATTTGAGCCGTGAGAGAACGAAAAAAGTATTAAAATTAAAATAAATAAATGATTATTATGATTAATTATGGTGTTATTTATTTAAACTTAATATCTAGATAACTATAGACAGGAATCTGTCTACTAGCGCCACGCAAAAAAGTTTATTATTCGATCCTGAGATTATAATAATAAATATAAATAAATACAAGACAGAAGTTAATTTAAATCATAAAATACGAAAGAAATTAATCTATTGGCATTAGTAAAAATATATCATTGGCAAATAGCAATGAAAAAAGTTACATAACATCACGCCTTTTATCCTCGTAGAATATCATCCAATGACTGCTCCCGCCCGGGTGAGGCGGGAGGGAGTGTGAGACTCTTACTGACTAAAAACCACCGCATTCCTTCTCCTGCACGCCGAGCCGGAGCCCCGGTAACCCGTTAAGTTCTCTGCGACATCCTCGAAGGGGTAGGCAGAGGTGTACATTATGCCACTGTACAAT